CTCACCTCTGCTCCCACTGCAGCCCAGACGCCCCACAGAGGGTTGCAGCCCATCAGCTGTCTCCCTCCCTGCTTCAGCCCTGCCGTCCCCCTGAGAAGGGAGTTTGGGGGACTAAACAGAGAGCCCCACACTGGAGGGACGGGGGCAGGACAGTGGGGGCAGGGTGTGGTGTGCAGGATGGGCTCACAGGGGTTCAGGGCTGGTTCCCCAGCACCTTCAGCATCAGCAGTGCTTGCACTATGAGCACACATTGCCTGCAAAGAGGGCCAAGAGCTGAAATCCCTCCTTCCTAAAACACTGCTTGTTTGCCTCCCTGGGTAGCAGCCCGGGAGAGCGGGATGCCGTCGGGCGAGGAACCAGCGCCGTTGGCCTTTTCAACTACGGCTGAGCCATGAAACGCATGTTGCTCAGTAAAGCAGCCGCTGGAAAGAGGGGAGAGCTGATCCGGCAGAGGTAGTGTGGATAGCTGCTCCGGCAGAGGTAGCGGCTGGACAAAGACCAGGTGTAACCAAGTGAGGCGGTGCCAATGAGGTCAACAGCTTAAAAAAAAAAATCAAAAATCAAAACTGAGAGAAGCAGCATTGCTCATGAGGCTGTTTGGCATGATGTGCTCCCCAGCCCACCCACGACGGAGGAGGCATGTTCAGCATGAGGGTACCCTGTGCTGGGGAGGGGAGGGCTCCCCGGGCTCCCCATGGGGCTCAGCCGCAGTGTCCCCTTGCCCTACCCCACTGCAGGTAGCAGCGCCCCGACCAGCCCAGGGGATGGCCCTGTTGCCTTCCCATCTGTGCTTCGGCTCTGAGGAAGGGGTACCCCACTTCACCCCCGCTAGTCCCATTGAGGCAACCCACCAGCACTGCCACCGGGCCCCCGCTGAATGAAAGGGAAAGGCAACAAAACAAAACCCATGGCACAAACGGAAAGGGGACCGCCAAGCACCGGCCTGAGGCCACCGAGAGGGAGTGAGTCCCTCCGCGTCCCGGCAGCATCACCCCCGTCACAAGGCGCAAGTCCCCACACACTACAGCTCCGACTGCGAACGGGAGATGCGCGGGCCCTTGCGGATCTCCTTCCGCTTTTCCTCCTTCTTCCTCCGCTTCTCCTCCTCCCGCAGTGCCTTCTGGAAGGTGTCAGCACTGGGGAAAAACTGCAGGGTGACAGTGGAGGGTCAGCATGGGGGCACAACTCCCAGAGGCACAACTCCTCCCAAAACCACCAAAGCCAGCCCTCAAGCCCCCCTGACACCGGGGGACATGGCACAACATGAATGGCGTCCCAATGTTCCCATGGGGCAGGTGGCCACAGGAGGGGGGAGATGACACTGGGTGCCTGAAGCTGATAGCAGCCCAGTCGAGGAATTCAGCCACGCTTCCGCCATGTTGGGAGTTTTTGGCCACTCTCCACCAAACCACTTGTTCCCTTCCCCAGCCGGCTGCTTGTAGCTGTGATGGGGATGGGGAAGCCCATGGGGGGAGCCAGCGGTGCTGCTGTCTTACCTCGGAGTGGTCCGCTTTAAAGGGATTGCGGTAATCGGGCGATTTCTCGCTGATTCCCAGCTCCTGAGCCATCTGCAGAGCAAAGCGGAGACCACATCGGGGAGCGGTGCCTCCCACCTGCGCCCCACCTCCATGACCAGGGTCATCTCCTCCCACCAGCCCCCTCTATGCTCTTCCTCCATCCCTCAGCCCACAAACAACCCTCAGACATGGGGTACACTCCCCCTGCCCTCCTTTCACCCCAAGAACCTCACACCCCAGCCCCAGCAGCAGAGAGGGGATGTAATGGTAGGGGGGGAATCAGGAGCCATACCAGCCCCAGGACCTGGGAGTGGGGTCCCTGCTCAAACACGCCCGTCAGGTTGCAGAAGCCAATGCCCCAGCGGATGAGGCTGTTCCAGTTGGAGTTGCGGTCGAAGTAGTGGTGCACGATCTTGGGGAAGCGCAGGACGACATCCCCGAAGAAGGCGGTGTTCTCCACCACGTGGGAGTATGCTGTGGGGACAGCCACCAACCCCATCGGCACACATGCCCCATCCCACTGGCGCCAACATCCCCGCCAGGAGGTGGGGAGGCTAGGGGCAAACGAGTAGGCTCCCCAGTACGAACTGGTCAGAGAGGCAGCAATAGGGTCCCCAAGAGGCAGGGACCGGCCCAGGCCTCGTCTGGGTAAACGGGGTTTCATACCTACTCCACCACTGGTCCCAGGAGGAACATCAGCGATGTTCCAGAGCAATAGAAAAGGCAGAGGGGTAAGGACTGGAGAGGACCTACCATCCTTTATCTTCTCATCCTGAGGGAAAGGCCCGTCGGGTGGCACGTCAGCAGCAATGAGCACAGCCCGAGAGTCCTCCAGCACCTGCCAGAGCCCTCGGTTACTGCGTTGTCTTTCCAGCTCTTCCCTGTACCTCGGGGTGCTGCCCCAGCCGCCCCACTTTGGAGCCACCTAGCCACCCACCTGGTCACCCAGCTCTTCTCTTTGACCCCAAGGAGGCACCTCAGCCCTCCCTGCTTTTCCTGCCCACCCTCTCCAGCCCTACAGCACACGGAGCCCAGAGCAGCCAGCACTGTGGCTCACTTTGAAGAGTCCCTTGAGCATGATGTCAATGATTTTGTACTGCTGGTTGACGTCATTGAGCTCGATCAGGTTCTTCAGTGCGTTCATCTGGTCCTTGCGCTTCACCTCAAACAGCTTCTTATCTGCACTGCTGTCAAGGGTGCCACCAGCACACTCCCACCATGTTCCCATTCCCGCTCTCCTCCTCCACCCAGCACCATCCCAGCCCCTTCTCAGTTCTCCACAGGTTGCCTGAGGGCCAGGGAGTAGCACCTAAACCAGGATGAAACGTGGGTTTCCAGCGAGCCCCTTTGCCCGGACATCCCAGTGAGGCACTTAACAATGCTGGGCACTCATGGGGAGTTTTCTACTTGCCAGCTCTTGCTCCAGCTGACGGGCTGGAGGAGGAACATGAACTCCCACCTTCCCCATACGTGTCTCATAAGCACATGTATTAAATATTTTCACACTTTGCCTGTTCACCAGGGAATGTAGCTATGTGCTAAGGTGGGCTTGTATCAGCCCACCTCCTTGTGGGCAATAAACGCCCAGGGCACAGAGGAGACCAAGTGCTACAAGCCTAGGAGCCCTCTTCCATCATTCCAGCCAGTGACCCAAAGCACTGAGACCTGCAGACCTGCTCTGCCACATGGCTGGCTGCACCACTCCCAAGAGCGGACTGGGAAACGCGCTTGGCACCCAGCACACTGGAGCGCTGAGCTCGGGAGAACACCAGGCACCACTGAAAAACCCACCTTGCTCCCGCACCGAATCGGGTGCTTGGTTAACAAACCCAGGAGTTTGGCTAAAGCCCTTCTATGGAAGAGCAAAGTGGCAACTGCCCAGCGGTTCTAGGTCCTCTCTCTTCCACTCTCCAGTGCCCCTTTCTAGTCTCTGACCCTTCCCCTGTGTGCGAGCTCCCTCCAGCCTCAGCAAGCACCAGCGTGGAGGTGGGACATGAGGGGCAGGCTGCTGAGAAGGATACAGATTTCCAAGCCGGAGTCCACCCTCTGTTTCTCCAGGTCTGTGAAGGTGCCCCGAGACAGCAGCAGCACCAGCAGAAAGGGGCAGATGAAGAAAAAATCCATGTTCGGCCGTCGCAGCCTGGAACAAAATGGACCAACAAAACCAATGACCAGTGAGGAGACTTGTCAAAGGGAGCAGTCTCTCCAGACTTGATGTGCCTCTCCAGACTTGATGGCACATCGCCTTTGGCACCAGAGTCCTCTTGCCCACCTCTCCCTTGTCTCCACAAGGAGTTTGAGGGAGAAAGTGGCCAGAGCAGGGCCACGGGGCGATGCTGCAGCGAGGGAAGCCCTGGTCTCCCCCCCCTTTCTACCTGCCTCCGCTGCCGGCTGGGCCCCCAGGGATCTGACTGAGCACTCACCCAGCAGAAAAATTAAGTCCTACCCCTTTTCCCAAAAATAACAGCTAGATTTTTGCTGGGTTGGCAAGTTAGAGCAGCCCGGCAACTGAAGCGGCAGGGCTGAAGGGAGGAGGAGGATGGCCGAGGGGCTGAAGTCCACCTCTCCTTCAAGTGCCAGGCTTGACCCGCTCAGCCATCTCACTTCACCTCTTGCTGTGCTGGTATTTGAACCCTTCCCCTCACCACAAGCCGGGCACCAGCTGCGGGCCCCACACCAAAAAAGCAGCAGTTAGGTGACCTGGTGGTAACTCCCCTGTCGCCCCAAGCGCATCCCTGCCCATGCGGAGCCTGAGGCTCTGTAGGGATGTGGTTGGACAGAGCTGCCCCTCATCATGAGGGTCCCTCAGGCAGAGTCAACGTGCAGCAGAGAGGCGAGAGGAGAAGATTCCCGAGAACAAGGACCATGGTTCCTGGGACAGCCTAAACCTCGAAAAGGAGAGCAGTACCTCAGCCTCCAGGCAGTAGGACTCAAAGTGGCCTGTCTGTGGAGCTGAGCAGCGGCCACTGGCCATTATGGAAGCAGCAGCAGCTCCTTCAGAGGCATCCCCTGAGCCGCCTCCTGCTCCCGAGGGAAAGGCAGACACGTAAGGCCACCAGCGCTGCCATCACCCTGCCGCCCTGCTCCCCTCCCGAGTCGAGTTCACCCACCTGGCCTGAGCCTCTCTCTGCGATGCCCTAACACTGGAACAGAAACAAATCCCTCCTTCACACCAAATCTGTTTATTCTTTTTTTCTTGTTGTTTTTCTTTTTTAAACAAATAGGCCCACGAGTGAGGCAAAGCAGGCAGCACCAGCAGCTCTCCCAGCCCTGCAAGGAGCAGCAGCAGCTCCCACCGAGGCTGAGCCAAGCACCCTCGCACCTCCGACGCTAGCAGGGAATTGGTGTCAGGCAAAAACGAGAAACCCTCTGCGTTATTTTGCTGCTGTGCTTTGCAAAAGGCAGCACCCCTGCAAGGGAACGGATCAGAGTAACTACAATCAGCGTTACAGAGGAAGACACAGCTGCCCTGGTGAGGGCTCAGCATCACACCCAACCTTTCGGATGCGATGCTGAGCTGAGATGGCAGGACAAGCCTCCTATGCCAGGCCTGGGGTCTGTCCCCTCTGCCTGCAGTGGCGTGAGGCTTAAGGCACACTTCAGCCACCCTGAAGGCTGCAAAGCACACCAACGTGCCGAGGCTGTAAGGAGAAATCTCCAGCCTGGGCAAGCAGATGCTCTGCTGGACCCACCAGACTGGTCAGCTTCCAAGAGACCACTTCACCCTGCCAAAAACCACAACCCAAGGGCCTGAAGCCTGGCTCAGCGAGGGGGTGAGGGTCCCCTCTCCATAGAGCCTCCCAGAGCCGCTCGTTCCATCCCAGGGTCTGGGGGAGCAGGAAGCGCAGCAACTCAAAAGCACAAACTGTGACTGCTCTGGGACCCTCCTGTTTGCCCATCAGATCTGACATGCGGCCATAAGCCGGGCTGGCTATTTGCTGTGCCCGTGGAGAACTGGAGAGACCTTGGAGGCAGCCTGTGGCCTCCAGATCAGGCTGAAAGGCAAAGTTGAAATGCTGCCCACAACAGGTCTGCCACGCTGCCCACGGCAGTCCCAGCACATGTGGTCAGGGTAAGGGCTCCCGTGTCTCCCCACTTCTGACATGGGAGCCGGGTGGCCAGAGCACATCTCGCAGCCGCTCCAAGGAGGAAGATGGTGAGCTGCAAAAAACACCGCTCAGGCAGCAGCAGAGCAAAGCATGGTTCTCAGCTGCTCAGCTGAAGCGGTTGCTGGCCAGCTGGTTGCTGCAGTAGAAAGGCCACCAGCCTGCCTGGCTGCCCCCAAGTCTCAGAACAGAGACTGTCTTTTCCAGAGACACGACAGGAGATGCTGTGGTACAGGTGGTTAGGGTTTTCAAATAAAATGTTTTTAATGACTTTACAAATCCTCCTGCAGCAGCCCTACAGACCGTGGCTGTGAGACAAGGTCAGAAGAAGAGGACTGGAGAACCATGCCACACCAGAAGCCCATCATCTTTTCGTCTGACCCCTTCCCTGCTGACACTCGTTCTTACATCAAAGCTACTGACCGGCGTCATCCATCAGGGCTGAAACACCCCAGTGAAAATGAAGCAGGAGCCAGTTGTTGCCATCACCCATAGGGAAAGTGAGGCTGCTAGTGCCATGTGGGACCAGCCTGAGCTTATTTCCCTTCACTGCCCTGCCCATTTCACCCCATTTTAATAGCAGAGGACGTTCCCTCCTTTCCAGGCCGGACTGTGTAAGCTCAGGAATGCCAAACCTTCTTGCAGATGTTCCTCTGTGCTTTCCCCATGAACCCTCCCTCATGTCTTCACACCCGCTGAGGGACGAGATGAGACAGAACCACTGCAGAGCTGCTCCTCTCTTCCCTCCCTGCTCCTCCCTGAACCAATCCCTGCCAAAGCCAGCTCTGCCCAGTGCTCCCAGAGCAGTCCGGGGAGCCAGGGCCTGGCCTGATGCTACAGATGGAAGGAGTTTCCACCAATATTCCCTCGAAGCCCTGGCCAGCTGGTTGCTTCAGCAGAAAAGCCCACCAGTCTGTCTTGCTGTCTCCCATCCTCTTAATTTAGACGTGTTTTTCCAAAGACATGACAACAGATGCTGTGTTATAGATGGTTAGTACTTCCCATTAGAATGTTTTTAATGACTTTATAAATTCTCCTGCAGGAGCCCCATCTGAACTGAGCATCCTCAGGATTTATTCACTTAATGAGCTCGCAAGACAGAGCCACGCTGCCACGCTTCAGCTCCCAGGAGGGACTTTCGCAGGACCCCCCTTCCCCTCCACAGGGCACTGCAACGCAGGGGAAAAAGCATCATTAGCCAGCTTGCCCCGGGAGCGCACTGTGGCAAAACGAGGAATGAAAACTCCCCGCCCCAGGAATCCATGCCCAAGCCGCTCCTCCATCAACCTGATGAGGATTAATCTCATGTCATAGCCGAAGCAAAAGCTTCAGAAGCGAAACGCAGGCTGCTCGGACTTCTGCTAGGGCATTTCTGTACGGGGCTTACAGGATCAGGTGCTTCAGTGAAACAACAACGGCCGTTTACATACGCTTACCTCAAAAGTCCCTTAACCACCA